CCCTGTTCCACAAATTGTGGCTCACGTGTCCCAAGGCCTGATGAAGAAACACATGAGAGAAGTCCAAGTGAGGAAGAAAGCTATAAAGTGTTTACTGAAATAAAGAGAAACAGTGTGAGGCAACAGGGTACCTGCAAACCAAGCTGTTCTCTGCCCACCAGCCAGATGGGTAGAGGATTATATACCCAAGATGACATAGGTGCAGTTTATGATATATGGTAGACCTCATTGGTTACAGGTAGAGGGGCACCATATGAGTCGGTGAGCCTCAATTTGGGGTTATATTACATTCAATTCCAATTGTTTATATGACAAGAAACACAAAGGTCTTCTCTGGCAATTATCAAGGGCTTTTCATATATAGGCAAAGGAAGCATCCTAGATAAGAGGTGTGAATCACTCAATAATCCTGTGCCCCAGTCAGACTCTTTGGAGCCTGTTATCACAACATATACGTATATCTCACCAAAGGATGTAGAGCCCATCTGTTATGTCCACTGACTGCCACTAGGCAACAGCGACATTACCAGAGCTTGGCTCTCAAGAGACAATAGGGACTAGGATCCTGAAACCTCAAGCGGTCACCAACAGGAACCTTGGCGGGAAGTTTAAACCCACCAATGGGACCTGTGGGTGGTCCATGGGGACTGTATATAGTTGGCCATCTGGCCAGTACTTTCCGTTCTGTTGTGTACCAGTAAACTATGTGCTGATAATCATGCTGCTTCCTGATTCTTCAATGCATCGAACCCACTACACAACACCATCTTTCTTCATTGAGGCTGGGCTGTAAAGCCATAAATTCCTTACCAGAGGTAGAGCTGAGATCTAAAGATGCACAAATGGCTCATACTCCCGTTTCTAAATTTCTGCTTAACTACTTCCAAGGCTATTAACCTGTCAGGGCAGCTGCCTCATTCACAGGCACAGATAAAAGAGGGATGTTTATTCATTCAGCTTGCTTTGGTTTGGCCTGTGCAAAAAGGGGAGGCAATCTACTAAACATTAAACCATCTGCCTAATCTAATATACCAAAATCAAACTATTGCTTTTCCTTCAGTTCATACTCTTATTGAAATCAGATTATGGATCAGTCTCCTGGTCCCACAACCCCAGATCTTTTTAAAAATGGATTTTATTGGTTTTTAAACAGAAAAAGAGAAAAAAGAAAAAACAAAGAAACCAAGCTATAACAATTGTGAAAAAGCAGGAAATAATAATTTCCAATTTTCTATGTGACAGAAAAATACACATTTACATGTTACTCTGAAATCACAAGAAGTACATCTCCTTTCCCTGTAAGTTTATTATTTTTTCCTCTTCATCTTCAAAACTACAAATCATCAGTTCATTTTTTTCCATCTCATGCAAGAAGTCTATAAGGGGTTTCCAAATAGCCATAGATTTAGATAATGGGTGATTTCCCACAAGCGCTGCTCCTCGCTCACTCCTGCCTTTTGCCCCATGGTACGTGTCAATTTCACACAAGCTGCTGCGCAACTGCATTTTGCCCTGCAGCTTCGTGAGATTTTCCCGCGTCTACTCAATCCTCAAAAAACAGGATTGAGTAGACGCGGGGAAAATCACACGAAGCTGTGGGGCAAAATGCGGTCACACAGCAGCTTGTGTGAAATTGATACGTACCATCGGGCCAAAGAGAAGAGTGAGAGCGGAGCAGTGCTTGTGGGAAATCATCCAATGTCTTTTCCTTTATCGAAGAAGTAAGTTTGGCCATCTCTGCAAGCTCCATCATCTTCACTAACTATTCCTCTATTGTAGGTAATGTTGAAGTTTTCCATTTTTGAGCATATAACAGTCTTACTGGCATTGTCATATACAGTTCCATGAGTATTTTCTAATCGTTTATCCATTAGTCCAAGCAAAACAGCTTCTGGCTTCATTTGTTTTAAGCCCCTTTGACCACAAATTTTCCCATTGCTCAATTAGTATATTATGTCCAAAGGTTTTTGACCATTTTATCATAAATTCATTCACCTGTTCTTCTTCTGTCTCCAATTTCAGCAAAAGTTTATACATTTCAGCAATAACATGTTCATCATTCATACATAATTGTTTTGAATACAGTCATAGGTTGATCAAAGCCATAGAACCTTTTTATCAACTTTAAACCTTTCTAGTAATTGTGCACAGAAAAACCACTGACAACTATATCCTTGTGTTATTCAATCCTCTCTTGCTTTAATTTCACAATCCCCTTGTGGGAAATCTAATATATTCCAATATGTTAACCACTTTTGTTTAGCTACCATTTCCTCTCTAAAAAAGGCTTCTTGTGTTAACATCCATAGAGGTGTTTTTGGACACAACCTAGGCTTGTATTTATTCCATATTCTCAAAATGGCATCTCTCCTATATAATAATTCTGTTTTTGAGTGGCAACGTTCCATGCCCTCCCTCATTCATTGGCCCATCAGCCGCCACTCAAGAGTACTCATGTGCCATTAGCCAAGTGCTGGGTCTGCTCCTCTTCCCTGCCGACTCCCCCTTCAGCCACTGTGCCATCAGAATTACTGGCAAATGGCTTTCTCTCTTGACGAAGACACTTCTCCTGCTTGCCTCCTGTGTGGAACTAACTCTTCCCTCAGTGGCTGTTGGCAGGTGTAACGAAATGGCAGTTACCTGTGTTTGTAAGATGGCTGCTGTCTGTGGTTGGTTGTTTAAAATGTTCCCCCATAAGGTTTAATTGAGCTGTAGTTCCAGAGAGGGATTTGCAGGGGTATCACTCGCTGGGTTGAATTGGGGTTCCACATCTGCTGGTCTACAGTTCCCAGCTGCCCCAAGGCCAAAAAGTGCAGGAAAACAAGGACTGTCCCAAGGGGCAAGGTGTCATGGGTGCTGAGGAAGGGCCATTGCCAGCTCCAGCCGAACCCACAGCCGGCCCCTCTGAAGCTGCAGAGAGCGGCAATTTACCATCACAGCCTGCACTGGTGTAGTGGTTAAGTGCCTGGACTCTAATCTGGGAGAACCGGGTTTGATTCCCCACTCCTCCACTTACACCTGGCTGGATGACCTTGGGCAAGCCATAACTGGCACAGCTGTTCTTGAAAAAGAGCACTTTCTGTCAAGAGTTCTCTCAGCCCCACCTACCTCACAGGGTGTCTGTTGTGGGGAGGGGAAGGGAAAGGGGTTTGTAAGCCGCTCTGAGACTCCAAGTGAAGGGCGGGGTATAAATCCAATCTCTTCTTCTTCTAGAAATGATAATGCTAGGAAAAGTTGAAGGCAGCAGGAAAAGAAGCCCCAACAAGTCTTGGCTTTCAGTTTGCAAGACTTGAGAATGGCTGTTAACAATAGGATATTTTGGAGAACATTAATTCATTGGGTCTCCATAAGTCGGAAGCGACTTGAAGACACTACACACACACACACACACAACCTACCCCGCAAGGACAACTTACCTGCCAGAGATCCATCTTAATTACAGAACATAACTTTGTATTTCACAAGGAATGGATGGGCAACTATTGTCTAGTGCTGGAAATGACTGCTTATTCTACAAAGCTAAACATCATCTCCTAATATTCAGGCCTGAGATCAATTGTTACTCAGGCTTAAGTAAGCAGAACATGGAAACCCTGGATAGTACAGTATTTGAATGAATGACCAAACTCACAATTAAAACACAGATCCAGCACAACACAGGATGTATTTTTCTACATCTTAGTTTCTATGAAATAACCCAGTGGTTATACTTCTTTCTCAACTGTTTGTTGCTTATCCATCAACACCAGGGCAGAACTAAGATTACATTAAGAGGCTAAAACCTGATGCTAACAAAGACACTAATTGTGTGCTTTTGGAACAATTCTGGATATTACCTTTTGTTGTTGTTGAGTCGCACAGTCGAGTCCGACTCTTTGCGACCCCATGGACCAGATCTCGCCAGGCCCTCTTGTCTTCCGCCATCCTCGGAAGTTTGCTCAATTTCATGTTCGTTGCATCTATGACACTATCTAACCATCTCATTCTTTGCCGTCCCCGTCTTCTTTGACCTTCACTCTTTCCCAGCATTACCTTTTGTGGTATCATCTAAAGATCTGCTTTTGTCTAAGGAACTAACAATAGTTTAGTTCATGCTACCACGAGGCGACAGTGTATTAAAATTTAGTATGTCAAATCTTCATGGTTACTTCTAATTTAAGTTGAATTTCTGCTTAAGGTGATAGCCGTATGAGCAGTACTAGACAGAGATAGATAACTTAAGTTGAAGCTACATGAAATCCTAGCTCTTTGAGCATTATATCTTTTTGTTTTATTGCATTATTTGTTCTATAGCAAATTGGCACTCTTAAATGCTAAGTAACAAAAGGAAATTCTTGAAGCACACCAGTCAACAGGGCTGGTATCTCAGAAGAACTTGTCCAGAACTGAGAATTAATTGATCAGTCTAACTCCAAATTCTGTTTTCTGTCATAGGCTCAGCAGTAGTTTACATCCTGGTAGACTACTCAGCATTCCTTTGCATTTCAAAGTTAGTAGGAACCTGCCTGTTCTGTGTACTTAAATCAGCGACAGACAAATGTGCCATATCGCATTTTTAGACCATGTTGCACACACTATTTTCATCTTATGGAATGTACCTTGGCTACCTGCAATACACACAGCATTCCTGAGTCAGTGAAAAGGGCAAGCTACAAATAAAGTCAATAAAATATTAATTTGCAAAAGTATGCAATGGCTTCCAGGTGATCAGCACGTCATGAGCACAACCACTTGCATGGTATGCCAAAAAGTCCCTTGTATCAGTTTTCAACTCTGTAGAGGTTTGATGGAACAGGTCTCATCACGTCCTCTGTTTTATTTAGCTGGCTAATACTTGCACACATTAGTCTGCTGTAGCAAAGTAAAACTGAAATTAAGTGGCACCTTTGAGTTTACTTCCACGTAAGTTTTGGCTCTTGTATTCTCAGTTCCAACATCTAAGTGTTTATAACATTCACACAAAGTATAAGCAAAGCAATTGTTCTTTAATGCAACTCGGGCACACGTTTGATTTGTGACAAAACTGGTCAATGACTTTGTTTACAGCCATTTGTAAACAAAAGCTTCTGTACATGAAGTCTGAATTTGCACATTAATTTACTGGATTCACACAGATACACCAAGTCTCTTATATAATACATGTTCATTTATAAGAAAGCCAGGAGCTTCCCAAAGGTTGTTTTAGCATGCTAGTGTATTGTAAACACATCTTTCTAAACACCTCCATTATATCAAGCATTGACACAGAAGCAAAACAGGACATTTAGTGATCAGAATTAGTACTTACAAAGCCTAATCCTTGGTTTTTAGACAGCGAATAAAGTCCAGTGTTTTACATTAAAACAGGCAGCAGAGCTCTGCTCTATAGCCCACCTGCTCTAGAAAAATAAAGAAAGGATATTAATGACTAAAACCACAAATCAAGGCTGTGCTAGTAAGTGAAATGTCACCAAATTCAGTCACGGGTCTTTCAGAGGAACTTCAGCATTGGTAGTTTAAAAAATCGACCACATGAGAGGCTAGTGAGTCCTTTTATAATTCAGTGAAATTTGGAAATAAACTCTAATGAAAGGCCTATGACTGTATACACAGACCATACAGTATTTCTTGTGAGAATGCAGCTATTTTAGGACACATTTACATGAAAGCAAGTCCATTAGATTTCAACAGTACTTCCCACCACATATTCTAAGGGACCAATTGCTCAATTTTTGCTCAATTTTTACTCTTTATGCCATTTTGCTTAAGCCTTGCATTTCTGTTAATGTTCCCCTCCTAACGCTAAACTTGGGGAGCATCTGTACCTAAGATTCTTATCCCTTTTTTCTTATTAAGTTTAATCACTGACATTTTCCTTTAGAAAAAGTGACACAGCAATTTAGCTGCTTTTTGACTTCACATGGTGTTCTTCAGAAAAATGTGAAATCATTATCATGCTGCTATACCAATAGAAATCCAATATTGATGTTCTTGACTATAACAATGTTAAAAAAAATACTGGGACTTTAATCCTTTTGGACAGCAGCTACATGAAAAAACAAACAACACACGGGTAAGCATTGACAAAATTCATTCTACCCAGTTTTTGAAAGCATCCACATACAGTCAAAGTAATTCTCATTTGAAGCCACAGGCAGAAACTAAATAGTAATCAATTGTGCAACTGCCTCAGAAAAGGCATTTTGGGGGACGTACAGCTGTACTTTTGTATAGGTACCATTCATTTCAAATGGAATTTATGCTGACAAAACTGCTGGTACGATTGTTTGAAGCTATATCAGTAACCATCTACAAATCATACCTTCTACACAATAGAGATTTTAAAATATTTTCTCATCAGATATTTCAACATTTCAAAAGCCATCTTTCATTTTCCTCTGATTAGGTACTGTGTAAAGGACATAGGAGAACTTGTGTCTCTATTTACAAAACTATCACTGTGAATTCTAATCTCTCAGATTTCATTTGCTTATCGGTTCAATGTGAATTTTCAAGGGGCATTATCTATTAGCCCTTAAGAAACATTCTGAAGCAGTGTGGAATAAATAATTTTAGTGAGTTGTAACAAAGCTACATGTAATGTATACTGTACAACCACAGCCCCAAACCCTTTGTAAAATCCCAATATGCCTTCTTCACACTTTATTGTATTGATGCAGTCTCTCATTCCTTCATACTGGGTATTGATGGGGAGAACTTCATACCCAAGGTCTGTATTGTCAATGATGGTGCGGGTCCCTTGAATGTGAAGGCGGTGTAAGACTGTCTCCAATGGGTACAGCATGACATCAGCACAAAGGCTAGCAGCAAAGCTAGCAATAAGTTCTGGAAAATAAGCATCCAGCATGTTTTGTACAGAACTGGTGCCCTCTGTTGTGAGGCTAGAAGAATTTTCCTTTTTCAGAAGCACAAGGACTATTTTCTGGACAATGGAACTAATGATGTAATGCATAATTCCATGCAGAACAGTAGGAAAGGTCAGTGCCAGAAGAGGGAGCAGCCGTTTGCTATGGGGCACTCCAAAACCCATTGCTCGGCCTATGCCCTCTTTTAGGCAATCTAAAATTCCAGGATTATCCCGAATTATTTCACTCTGCAAGAAAGAATATTTACAATCAGTAGGCATTCATACACATTGGTGTGATAACCATGAGATATTTAAACAAATTTAGTTTGATTATCTATAGTGAACATTATATGTACTTATATAACCAAATCCTAACAAAACCAATCAAGCCTGTAGAGCAGTTACAAGCAGTGTTCTCGCTAAGCTGAGTTAGTGTGAGCTAGCTCACAGTTCTTTAGCCTCCTGCTCACACATTTTTGTCTTAGCTCGGGGAGGATGGCTCCAGAGCAGTCTAATCTATGCAGTAACCAAATCGCTTGCTCCCAACTTTAATGCCAGTAGCTCACAAAATAGAATTTTTGCTCACAAGACTCCACAGCTTAGAGGGAACATTGGTTACAAGTAACCATTTTAGAAAACAATTTTCACATTCATGTGTCTAGTATATCCTTACTTCGCCCTTCTTCCTGAGAGCTCAGAGCAGCTTACATGGACCTTCCTTCTTTTATCCTCACACAACAATCCTAGCTGCCTCCACACAGCGATAATTCTCCGTGTAGCTTTCATTGCCATTGTGAATGCAGAGGCATTTACAGTGGCAACAGATAATCTATGCAGCAGTTTTCTGGTACTTTCCATGCATCACCCCCCTGTGGCCACCATCCCCCTGGAGGGCTTTTTGGAAGATTAAAAAAGGGTATTTACTTATTGTTATTATGCAACAACCATTTAGATACTAGTTCCTCTGAGCTCCCATTTTTCACTTTAAGAAGATCAGCCTCTAGCTCCCCTTGTTGTAAAGATGTATCTCTACAATGAAGAGGGCTAGAGACTTTTAAAAAATAATGGAAGCGGGGAACTTAGGCTAACTGGTGGACAGATTGTAGATAAATCAGTCTGTCACCTCTAGGCTGCTACATTTTAGGCCAACACTGTAGCCCCTAAACCACATTGGCCATCTAATAGTCCCATAAAAACTGCCGAACTCATTTCATTTCCCATCACTATCTGTGGCTGTTATACATACAATAAAAGGACCTGCAGGGAAGAGAAATGTCCTACCTTGCAAGTCCTCACTTCCATCCTTTTGCTGTATCTCCAGTTTTCACACACACCCCACTCTGTCTCTCCCCACTTATCTTTCTGCTGCTTGATCTACCTGTCCTGCTTGTTCACTTGCTCAGTTATGTTTCCCCGTGCCTGCTGTCTTCAGCTCCCAGTTTTCCCCACCACTCCTCATGGTTCATGCTTCCTCACACCTCCACCCCTGGCAGCTGTGGAAGACTGGGGTGGTGTGAGAAGGCACCAATATATATTTTTGGTGGGAAAATCCTCCACTCAGTGCAGTGCCACTGTCCTCTTGAAGTTAGGGTGTACTGGTTTGGGATTAATTGAGGACTACCACCCATACCACACTTCCCTGCTACACCAAACACGGCTGCAAAAGAGGCCAAAAATATTTATCTACTGGCCTGTCAGTACTTGGTGCTATTTACAACTAGCCATCCCCTGAGGAAAACAATGATGGAACTTTGGAGGCATACATTAGTTCCATTAGTTCCTTTCCTTGGTAACACCCCTGGTTAATGTTGTTTGCCCTGGATTAACCATGAAGGAAAACAGATTTTTAAAACAAAAACCAGTTTTATTACTGTGGGAAGGGAAAGTAAACTATGGATGTTTTAAGATCAATTTTAGATAAATGTCACTTATGCAGAAAATGAAATGTGTACAGGTATCTGTAACAAAACGTATTTATGAATGGAGAGAATGATAGTAATTGTCAGACTGCTTCTGACTGTAAGAGCTGTTAAGTTTTCCCACAGGTTTCTTAACTTTTTGGAGCCTTTTAAATGCAGACCTTAGTCTTCAAATATACCAGAAACACTACGTACAAGAACCTTAAACCAGTGTGGGCCACGCCAGGCTATCACACTAAACAGTCATCTTCCCACGAAGGCAGAAATAAAGCCCTAACCTAATGGACTTCTAAACAGCTTTTTTCCCTCTGCCCATTCCCCCATCACAATTGTTCCAAAGGCCTTGATTGGCTGATGCTGGCTTTCTCTACCAGACCACCAGGGTACAAAGGGGATTGGCAGATGGGAAAACAGGGACAGACTTGACTCCGTTTGTCACAGCAGCCTGTTCTCCCTCACAAGCCCCTTGCTACCTCCATGACTTCTCCTTTCCTTCCTGCTTCTCCCCCTTCTTATCTATACACTATTAGCCACCCGTGGCCACCATCTGTGGATATCTAAATCCATGGATCGGGGCACCATGGAGGCGAAAGAGATTTTCCTGCACACTCGGGGCACTCCCCAGGTTTGCAGAAAAATCTGATTTAAAAAAAAAATACACAGGGGGGTTTAAATCCCCTGCAAAGTAAAACAGCATTCTCTGTGCATGCACAGAGAACACACTTGCCTCCAGCTGCAGCTGTGGTGGCTCTGGGTTCAGCCGTGGTGGCCCAAGGGGGTCGCACAGCCCAAGGCCCTGCTGATCCCAGAAAAAGCCACCTCAGCCCAGCCCGATGGTGGAGGTCAGCATCCTCACTGACTCCAGCTGGAGTAGATGCTGGGAGCCACGCCAGGCCTGGCTGCCACAGTGTACATCAGAAGCTGCCCCAGGCTTGGTTATGGCAGTGGTGCCATGGCGGCAGCAGATGCTGGAAGCTGCTCCAGCTTCAGAGTGGCTCTTAGATACCACTGCCACCACGACTGGGCTCCAAGGTGAGGCTTGGACATGACAACTCAACCATGGGGAGGGATGGGATACCCCCCCACACACATGAGTTTTGGAGGCCCTCCTTTGTCTCCTATTGTTGAGTGCAGTTTGGGGTCTGCTCATACGGAGACATCATTTTTACAGTTTTTAACCCCTCCCCATTGTAGTTACTAAATGTTATGGACTTTTCTGCAAATGTATAAACTATCCCTTTGTTGCCCTGCTTTGTGGACTTTTCATCTGCACAGGGACAGGGAGGGGGAGAGAAATCTGTGGCTGGCTATTAGATATAAATTGCAGACTTTGACGTATATATGCATGGAAAATCACATACACCGCCTTCTCCGACAAAACCTCCTATGGGTTATTTAAACACTCTCATATCAGCAGCCATGCCATATTGCTAAGTAGGCAGCATATTTCATTTTATCCCCTTATCTTTTCACTCCTCATGTGAGAAAGATCCAAAAGAAACCATGAAGTTCAAAACTAAAATGGGATGATTTTTCATATATGTAGCAGAAAAACTCACAGAACATTTCAAAAGCATGAAGTCATGCAGGGCACAGTAGTACTCACTATGGATGCTGCCATAAAACAGTTTGTTTAACCTTAACATGGCACTGATTTTACTTAGCATTGTGTCTTTTGATCTTGTTAGTACTTTAAAGGGTCATGTGCGCCCCCAAGTGGTTTGCAATTGCTTAAACTGAAATACAGCAGATTTACCTGAAATAAAAGACTAGGTTTTTCCCCTAGGAGTGCCATTAAGAAACAGAGGGGGTCATCTTAAATTCAAATAAAAGTTACAGATATGTATAGTAATAAACTTTTTGTGTATTATTATTATTTATATGAGGGTCATCTTACATTTAGGGTTATTTTCCTTTCAGGAAAATACAATACCAGCTGCACCGTGAAACACAACTTGTGTTACTCTTTTTTAGCCTTCCTGAAATAGACTAACTTCATGTTTAAGTCCCAAGCACAGCCAGTTAAATATATTAGTGAAATCAGTTTTCTAGATTCATGATACAACCTGGCATTCATTGCTAAGATAAGAATTTTTTTGTAAAAATGGTCAGTAATAAGACTCATGATTATGCTGTTTACCTAAATAATTTGGAAATGGCAGCAACCCTCCTCTTTCAAACTGGGGCAATGTATTCCACACAGTATACAAAGCTGCAACTTTGTACGCTAGGACACTTTCAACCTGAATAGTGACACGATGGCACACAGAAGCATTATTAAACTTACCTGCACCGTTTCAATCAGACTTGCAGAATAAAAAGGCATTGCTATCACACAAGTCATTCTAAAGGAATAAGAAAGTACAGTTCAGATTGTGACAATGACATCGGCCACTTACTGTGTTATCAAACAGTGCAGTCAAGGAGCCAATTAAGCAGAGATATTTTGATTTAAGCTAATTTAGCCTGTTTTGAATTAAATTGGTTTACATCTAAATTGTATGGATTAGTGTGAGGATTGTGTTTCCTTAGCATTCCACTTCTAAAATACTCCTGATAGTAATGTTATTTATATTAGCACCCAAGATTATACCTTACTATTTACAAATACTTATAATACTACTTTTCAATTTAATACTACTTTTCAATCTGTGTTACCAAACATGTCAAAATGGGCTGCTCTTTTTTTAAAACAATCACTGCTTATGTACATTTTAGTAAATTCAGTTCTATTAATTAATTAATACAAGTCATACAGAACTGTGAATTCAGCTATAAAGGCCCCAGTTCTAGAAGCCAAATGCTCTAACACAAATGCAATAGCTTAAATGTAACCCTTAAATACCTGGAGCAATGACAGATTTCTATGCACAAAAGAAAGGGGATTAGACAAAAGCTTGCCGAATGTGTAGATGTTATGCTATAGATCTCTTAAGTGTTTAATCTTTAATTTTGTCTGTTAGAGATAATGAACAGTTGTTTTTTGGTACCTATTTTCAGAAAGTAGGATAAAAGGAGTGCACCAGCTTTACCTACCCTTTCAGCAAAAGATGTCCTCCTATTTGTCGAAGACTCCATTTATATGAAAGCTCTCTGAAAATCAAAGCAGCAATTGCTTATCAAGTTTCACTAAAATAAAGTCCAGAATAGTACAAAAGACACTGCTTTGTACCTTATAACAGGAATTTACACAAACTCCAGTAGAGCAGTTACAGTCGAAAAGTAGGGACATTTCCCTCCCCCTATACACACTTTGCTTCAGTACTGTGGAATGCATTTACATGCACGTAATATCCCCAGGCACAAAAGAGAACAGAGATGATGAGCCTTCTTGTTTTGTTTGCAAGAAGCATTTTAATGGACTACCACTTCAGAACTTTTGGCTCAGAAAATTTAATGTACTTTGATAAAAGACCAAGCTGAAACCCATAGTAGCATTTTTATTGGTCCACACTGTTGTTGAGTATTAATAAAATGGTGCAGCTTCAAAATGGGCTTGTAAATTCCTCAGAACCAGGAGATATTAGGGAGTGAGGACAAGAAGGAAATATGGTTTCAGTAAAATTCAGTAATGGTATTTTGTTTCTTGCCCTGACCTGGACAGCCCAGGCTAGCCCAATATCATCAGGTCTCGAAGGCTAAGCAGGGCTGGCCCTGGTTAGTATTTGGTGGTGGGTTTTTTAACATTTTTTATTGCTTTTAAACTCTACACACTACAAAGGATAAAGGTAAGGGATATTCTAAACTAAAATACAGAGTAAGCAAGGATCATATAACAATCTATACGTCAATTTCTCGGTATTCCCTATTATTTAGTTTTTAAAATGGAGATTAGCTATTAATATTGTAAATTCAAACAAATACAAGCATAATTAGCCATAGTGAGTGCATCTTAGTATTGGTGTAGTGGTTAAGGGCATGGACTCTAATCTTGGAGAAACAGGTTTGATTCCCCACTCCTCCACTTGCACCTGGCTGGATGACCTTGGGCAAGCCGTAGTTCTGATAAGAGCTGTTCTTGAAAAAGAGCAGTTTCTGTCAGAGCTCTCTCAGCTCCACCTACCTCACAGGTTGTGGGGAGGGGAAGGGAAAGGAGTTTGTAAGCCGCTCTGAGACATCTTTGGGTAGTGAAGGGCGGGATATAAATCCAATCTCTTCTTCTTCTTCTTCTTCTTCAAATATTAATAAAAAACCCCAATATATTCAGAGTTAAACTATTTTTCGGTTTTCTTTCCTCTACGTTTGTTTTTTATCAAAGGGCAGCTTAATTTTAACAGGTTTAGGAGCTGCTACTCCTAATTCTGATTCAGAATCCAGAGTTCCTTCTGAAGAACTAAACGATGAGCTACTACTGCTTCTGGATCCATGTTCGCTGTTATCTTCTACAATGTTATTGTCCTCTGCTTTTCCTTTTTCTTCCGCTGAACTTTGGTGCTGTTCCAAAAGTGCTTTTGGTTTTGTGACAAAGTCAATCTTTTCTTTTTTCTCTTTAAAGTTGAAGATAAGTCCTTCTGGTATTATCCAACTGTAGGGAGTGGAGTTTTTCGGGAGAAATAGTGTGAGGTTTCTATATAGCTTCCTCCTCTTTCTCACCAACCTTCCCAGTCCTCAGTGCTAAACAGTCAGTTCCCAACTGTTTCTGTACAACTGACACTATCCAATGAAATCTGTTTAAGCAACCTGGCACTCAAAGGGTCTCTGGCTCTGGGAACATTAACCCTTCACTGTCCATCACATGTTTATAGCACTTATGAGCTTTCAAAGTACAGTCCGTCACAACCCCCTTCTGACTGGTCAATGTGCCCATCACCTGCTGACTTATTCTCTCTGAAACTGGAAGTCAGTAAAGTGGTAGAATACTGAGTAAGCACCTTCTGAACCAAGCAACTAATTCAGATTCAGTATAACAATCTTAGTTTAAAAATGGGGAGTTATTTGATTAGCTGCCACCTGAAAATGCATCCCTTACCACCATCTGATCTCAAAGTATCATTGCCAAGTCAATGAATATTTTCAAAATAGAACAGGCAAAATATTTTAGCAATCCTGAATAGTACATCTAGTAATCACTAGAGATCTACTTAATGGCTAAAATGTCTCAACTTAATAGTCAGAGACAGTGGCTACAGACACTGGCTGTTTAAGGTCCAAGTTTTCACTCTGAAGCACTGGGACGTAACAGTTGTTAATTTCAGCAGTACAGAAATCAAACTTGGAGGTGCATCAATAGGTACTCCCTCTGCACACAGCCAGTTATGGTTCACAAGGTAGATAGCTGATTAAAACTGAGATTACAATGTCATTTAGCTTCAATAGGTATCAGTGATAAATACCCTTTAAAAGAAGGGTTTGCTAATGAGACTGCCTCTCCCCTTCTGCTAACTCGGGGGGGGGGGGCTGAATTGGTAGAACATTTCAGTTAAAGCATAGTAGATTTTTTCCAAAATCTTTCGAAGAGCTGTTCTGAAAACAGACAAGAAGATGGAACAACTGTCCGACTTGGTATACAGCAGATTCATATGATTGTGAGGCCTTCCTCCTAGCAAGTGATGATCCCGAAGAAAAAGGGTACTGGGACTGTGCTCCTCCTTCCCAGCTCCTGTTGTATTTGCAGATGTCTCAGATGCTGGGTGGGGGATAATCTGCTTTCTTTGGGAAAGGGAAAAACCACTGTTTGTGCATGGGTTAGTTATGTACAAGACTTACCTTTGTGAATCAAACACTACTTGCTGGGCCAGTGATAGTGACATTGGGGGGGGGGCTGCAACAGGGAGTAGACCTGCTTTTAGACCACAATAGGAGTTTTGGGAGTGCTATATTTCTCCATGGGCAAAGGGTGGACAGAAGGTCTCAAAGGTGAAATTATAAAGGAAGCCCTCCTGCCAGGAATCGGCATGTTTCCCTGCACTGCAAAGATAAACCACTCAGGTGGAAGGGCTGGCTACTCCATACTTACTTTAATAATGTAGGGTGAGGAATTTAATCCCTCCCTGCTGTTTATAAAGAGCTTAGACTCAGAAGTCAGCACTGGAACTGAACCTTTTATCACAGCACTGTAGAGAATAAAGATGGTTTCCTGAAGGTAAAAATGAAAAAGGTGTCCTTTTTCCTTTCCCTTCATTAAATACCCTTCATTAAATACCCTCAGCTGGCGTGGCAGTTGGTTCCCTTCCTCGACCGTGGCGACTTGGCCACAGTGATCCATGCGACAGTCACCTCGAGGTTAGACTACTGCAACGCTCTCTACATGGGGCTGCCTTTGTCGCAAATCTGGAAGCTGCAGCTGGTGTAGAATGCTGCGGCCAGGCTGTTGATGGGTCTTCCTAGTCGGGACCACATCCGGCCTGTGCTGAAAGCACTGCACTGGCTACCGATAGCATACCGGATTCGCTTCAAAGTGCTGGTTCTTACCTTTAAAGCCCTATATAGCCTGGGTCCAACATACCTAAGAGACCACCTTTTCCTATATGTTTCCCTGCGAGCACTACGGCCGGGGACGCAACATCTTCTGACGATGCCAGGCCCCAAGGAGGCCAGGCTGGCTGCTACCAGGGCCAGAGCTTTTTCGGTGGCGGCTCCTACCTGGTGGAACGAGCTCCCGGAGAAGATCCGGGCCCTGCGGGACCTTGCACAGTTCCGCAGGGCCTGCAAGATGGAGCTCTTCCACAAGGTGTTTGAGTAGGAGCCGCCACTATTGTACCATCACTATGTTACCATCATGCGCATCTGGCTCTGGGAAGAGAGATCGACAGTGTCACGTGGAACTGACAGCATTGATTGGGTCTTTGAGACCAGTTGAGACGTCATCTTTATGGAAGATCATTCTGGAACATCTAGAGCACTTATTATATTGTAATACTGTAGTAATTATTTTATATGGTTTTATGTGTTGGCTTATGCCTATTTGTGAGCCGCCCTGAGCCCGCGTTTGTGGGGAGGGCGGGCTATAAATTGAATTTATAAATAAATAAATGAAAAGATAAAGATGCCTCAGAGCCCCAATAGGATTTTAAAAGCCCCTGCAAAGCCATCCGAGGCAGACAGCTTTCCTCTCCCTTCTCCTGACAATCAAGGAAGCAAAGAACAATGTCTCTTTCAGTGACATGGAGGTTTGGGGAACATGAAGACACACATGAAGCTGCCTTATACTGAGTCAGACTGCTGGCCTATTAAGGTCAGTACTGCTTACACTGAATGGCAGAAGCAGTCCAGAAAGTCACAGACATATTTGACATCACCTAAACCTGATCCTTTTAACTTGAGAAGCAAGGAATTGAACCTTGAATGCTTTATCACTGAACCCTGACCCCAGACCTAACATCTCACTGCTTGGCAAAACTTTCCAAGGCTGTAGAGATTCTAACTCTTCGCTCAGTTTGAGAGATGAGTGGGGATCTTGATTCCCCCCATCCAGGCTGTAGGTAAGGAAGCCTCAGCTTAATGGCCACCACAGAAAGTGTCAGTTTGTGCTTGCACAATCTACTGTCTGTATCCTATGGTGACAATGAGGAAGAATGGGTATTTGCTTGCCTGTCTGGGTTTTTTGCCAGGTATGCTGAAATCTTCCTCTGGAGATTTTACTGATCTTGTGATCAGCACAGTAGTCCATCTGCATAACTACGTAACGTTCAAGGATAAATGCTGGTAAACTTCAAAGCAGGGCTCCACAACCTGGTGTCCGCTGACACCTTTCGTAGTGCCTGCCAAGTGTTCTTAGAAAGTGGGTGGGACCAGGTGGGGCTTCTGATTGGCCACTGGAGATCTGATGGGCTGTGCAGATTAAAATAACATTGTTTCAGCAGCAACTGGTTTTATTTTTTCACACTCCTTTTTCTCCAGTATATTTTTAATTATTCTTCTTTATCTGCTACACTTGGGTTTCCTCTTTGTGTGTGGCTCCACCTCCAACAGAGGGCATTTTATGGTTGCCCCCATCACCCAGTGTCAGAAGCCCAGAACTGCCCATAGGCTCAAGAAATCGGGGACCCCTGCTTCAAAGGATTACCTGGGGAGAGGGACACTTTGGGAAACCTCCAAGACAGTCTAAAGTCTCAGGGGTTTGAGTAAGCTAGTTTTCCCTCCCCTTTTTTCCTTTAAAAGATGCTCAGCTGCTATCAACATTCTTTCCCTTCTGTCATCATAACATTGGGAGGCGGGATTTATACCATATTTATCTGCATGCGGAGGCTCCTAACTTGTTAAGAAGTCTGTGGATACCTTCTTGTGCTGCTTTTGTCATAAAGGCCTGCCAATTTACTAACAGATAATAATGATCATAGAGGAAGACTCAAAAGAATACTGGAAAATAGGGGAAGCAAGGGCAAGAACGCCACAAAACATACTCCAATCTGGTCTGCAAACTCTTCTTTTTAGTCCAAAAAAATCTTGCATCTGATTTCAGTATCTTTGGTTTTTGTTACCTCTACAATAATTGACATGCTGCCTGTACAGTTTCTTTTACAATATATTGCTTTGCCATAGTGACTAGTTTTTGAAGAAAGTGACATGACATAGTGCAAAAAAAAAGTAAGATCACTTTTGATCCACGTACTAGTGGATGCAAACATGCAGTATAAAGCTATTCACAGAGTGTGTTGGAAGATGTCAGGACCCAATATGCATCTAACAAAGAGGTCTAGGTGACCTAACCAAAAGTGTATAAAATCAATAGCTGGCAGTGATATAGAACACATTTGCTATATAGGAAGCCAGTAGTTTAGCTCTGTATATGGCAGTGTCGTATTATCATAGAAGCTTTTTCTTTCCCTACCATTTCATAAAACTTCTAAAGATGTCATCTACATAACCTACTCATTGTTATCACTGAGCCTACAGTCTTTCAATATGTCAGAGACTGAAACCCTCTGCAGAAAATACACTGGTGTTCAAATCACACAGAGCAGGAGCCAACCAGAAGGGCTCCTCTCTATGTTAACAGATGCTGTACCTGTATGGAAAATCCACGCATCGGCCTCTTCACATGATAATGGAGATCACACATACTGCACTCTGAAGCATGTGGTCAGTGAAATTGTGTGAACAGAACATCAAGGGTAACATATATAGAGCGCTATCATAGAGTATTTACACACATGCAAGATACGTACTCATACACAGTGAAGCTTTTTGTGTACACTTCTGAAACCTTTTCAAAGGAATACTAACAAATACAAAAGCATAAGAAAGGTGAACTGAGAATACCTTGGCAATGGTGTGAATTCACTGAGGATCCCTTCTGCTCCAAGGGTTATGCCTTGAACAACGAAAGTGCTTCCCATTCCTTTCCAAAGAGCTTTGGGGCCCTGTAATGTATGATATTCAGTTATATGCAACTTGAATCAGGTCTTAAGTTCAGTCCTCTCTAAAGGGTTAATTTATTTATTTATTATTTATTATTTTCGATTTATATCCCACCTTGCCTGCACAGGCAGGCTCAAGGTGGTGTACAATTAAAAACAATAAAACACACTGCATAAATGCAATCCAATAAAAAATCCACATAAAACAATATACAAGTAAAATGCAGATCAGTATAGATGCTGTACAGGCCATCATCCGTAAGTGTTCTTAATGCTCGTTCATCAGTGGTGGCTCCTAATCGAAGGCCTGGTGGAAGAGCTCCATTTTACAGGCCCTGCGGAATTGCAAGAGGTCCTGCAGGGCCCTGATGTCTTCCGGGAGCTCATTCCACTAGTGTGGAGCCACCACTGAGAAGGCCCTAGCTCTGGTGATGGCTAGGGGGCATCTACAGTTTGAGGCTGAATGGATCCTTCAAGTCTGAAAAATGTGAGGTTCAAAGAATGTTTGCCAACATGTCCAGACTTGTCTTGCATGGGGATGGAATATGAACCCATTTCCAAAATTGCAATACAGTTCAATTTGAGTATTTCCATGTGACTATAAACATATGGGAAGCTTTGACAGAGCACAAACACAGGGCTTTTGCCTGCTCCGACAATATAACACAACAATTCAGGTTGCAAACACTGGTTTCCTTGGGGGTCACTTTAACCCCCCAATTCCAAAAGTGGTGTAAAACCCCCAAATCAACAAATGTCTATAGATATAAGTTATGGAGAGAAATTTCAGTTTTTGCTGTTTGCTCCACCTTCCTATAAAATGGAGATGATAGGTGTTGGTCCATCTATTTATACATGGGAACAGTGCTAAAATCATTTTTCAATATTTGTTGGGGTCATTAGAACCCTAATTATGATTATGCATAGGACTTTAATTTTCAAGCCAAGTCTATTGGGAGCCAGAATGGCCCATTGACCCTTTTGATAAACCTCAAACTTAAAAAAAAAGGCAGTGGGGAGGGAAGAGAAGGAATTCAGGGTGCTGCAGTTCATTGGGGAGGAAGCATAACAGGAGCTTGGTGTCTGTAGAAAGCTTTAGATGGGTAAACCAATTTTTTAAAATGATTTCTGGGGTGTGAAATATCCCCAGTATCTTGGAAGGGTTAAAACATAAAACCATTGGAGAAAACAGGCTTAGAGCAGTGAACAACTAGTATGCTTTCACCATGCATGTATTTTATGTAAGGAAAATTACTGTTGTTTGATACGAAACACTAACCTGGGCTTTATTGATGCTATACATTATGTTAATAATAGTAAACGGAGTGAGATGATAGTTCCTGGCATGATAATTAACCTGTAAAAAGAATATACTAGATTATAAAAAGCTGTACCATCGTACATCATCATTTCTGCCACTGTTCATCAATAACACCCTGATCATTTCCCTAAAAATCATTACCATCAAAGTACTATCCAGATACTGTACCACTTTTAACTACAATAAAGAATATCAGTTGTCAAACCAATACAGTATTTTAAATGTAATGAAAGTTCAGTATTAAAAGTGATAGACAAATGTGATACAGTAATTTGAATTACTTACCTGGCACTGCCGACGCAGAACAATACAAGGATGGGCCAACACATTCTCTGTAAACAAACTTCGGAAAAATGATTTCAAAATTTATTGACATTTCACTAATTCTTACACAAATCTATCTTTTCCTTTACTAAACTACACTATTTTAATAAGCTTTAGACATCTCAAAATTAAAGTTATTTAGTACAGTAACTTGCACACTAGTAAGAATTAAAATGTTAAGCTTTACAAACTATTAAAACAACTCAGAGACCACTTCATGTTAAATGCCATCTTCATAATGATTTCTAATACTTATGAGTTGCCTCTTTATTGAAGCACTGCAGTTAATACCGCAAAATATTAAAGACACCTAAAATATAACAAGCAAGGCAAAATGGCTAACAGTAAAGGCAGCATCCCAACTAATAGCAGCCACATGAGCAGAGAACAGCAGGTTCATAAAATTCTACCTAAAATCAGCATTTTTAAATGAAAATGTCTTTGCTGTCTAGCAGAAAAATCCAAGCTATAGCCAGGTGAATCCTCTTGGAACTAAATTCCACTGTATAAGTTCAAGAACGAGGAAGCCATTGTTTCAGCTTCAGACAGATATTTTGGCAAAGGACAGACAAGTAGGGCCTCTTGCTTAGATCATAGGGTGGAACTTGGTGGTGGGAGTATACAAGACCAAGATCTTGAATTGAGCCGAGATGCCAACACAGGCAAGTCAGTGTTGCTTTTTAGCTCTCCTTTTAAAGCTGCAAAATCCTGTATTAACAATAGTTTTCAAACCATTTTAAGGAGTTGGGATGTGTCACAGTAATATGAACAGTACAGTACTAAAGCACTGACACTCTTCCTCATTACTGCCACCTGAGCATCAAGCAGCAATACAGGATCAAGCAACACTCCTGGGTCACACCTTCTCTTTTGGGGCAGAATAATATCCTAGCCAGCACAGAGGAAAACATTTGCCCTTACTGCTAGATCAGTAAGTCAAATCAAAAGTTTAGCATGCCTGAGATGGCCAACAAGGAACAGTTATATTGGAGCTATGAAGGCCAGATGCAATGGTGGCAAGACCAATGCTCCCTCTAAGCTGTGGAGTCTTGTGAGCAAAAATTCTACTTCGTGAGTTGCTGTGGTGAGCGAGCAATTTGGCTACTGCATAAATTGGTTTGCTCTGGAGCCATCCTTCCTGATCTGAGACAAAAATGTGTGAGCTGGAGGCTAAAAAACTGTGAGCTAGCTCACACTAACTCAGCTTAGAGGGAACACTGGGCAAGACATGTCTCACATTGTGGGTCATATTGCACAACTGTAGAGGTGGCTATGGTAGCAGGGCATTTAGAGTAGAATAGAAATCTGTGTCCTCCTTCAGCAAGCATCTGGTCTTGAAGCATGACTTGGAGAACAACACCTGGGGGAAGGGGTTTTAGTGGCAAGTGTGCTAGGTAGGGAAAATGACCACAGTTCACCAAACCCACTATTCATATTGCATGTCTAGCAAATATACATAGCTTGAGCTTAGCTCCAGTGAATGAAATCTCAGAAACTTGGTTTAATTTGTGACACAGAAATAAATAAGAACCTACTGGCCCCTTATTCAGAAACTGTTTAGCTGTGGAAAGTGCTATGTGTCTCACAGGTTTTTTACAAAATGTAATGCTTCTTTCATTGTACTGGTATATTGCACACACACACACACACACACACACACACCCATGCTGACACAATGTCAGTCAACTGCTTGTTAGACTGAGCAGAAATTACCTACTGCAGCAACGAAGAGGTGGCAAAGGTCCTCACCTCAGGTTTGTGGCAGTTGGTGTTTGTTTCACAATTCATGGCCCCTGAAACCCAAGAGCTAGACTGCCTATTGCCTTGTTTGTTCCACTCTACCATTTCCTACCATCTCCCTGGCTTCTGTGATACAGTTTCACTATATTGTATCTTTCTGGCTGGCTGTATTTCAAATGAACTATTGTATATTCATGTTAGTTTTGGTTATAACTAGAGCTATTATGTTTTTTATTTTAGCAGTTCTACATTATTACTCCTCTGTTTCAATCTTCAGGAATTTCATTTCAGTCTGTAATTGTATGTACTTCTTTAACACGCATGTAGTAATGATTACAGAAAATGCAACATTATCAATGAAACATTTTTATAGACAACAGAGATCTTACCTTGCCAGACCAATCCCAAAGCCTGCAAACCTATTCAACTGTTCTGAAAAATATATACATAAATGCTAATGTTTATTTTAAAAGAAACACCAATAATTAAAAAAAAAATCAAATACTAATACAAACAAATCTTACTAAGTGCTTGGTTTCATAAATTATACCATAGAGCACAGATACATGTAGTTTATGCTTGGCTTTGCATTAGCTTACTAAATGCATACCCATAAGGGTATTTTAAATCGAGAAGCCGATATGCCTTAGATTTCTTGTGTTAGATGAAGCTTCACACTTCATATGTATAAGAAACTAGAGCAAATATTTTTGAATAATAATTTCTCCTTGGTCTTGAAATTTACTATGTGACCTTGAGCCAATCACACACAGTAAGTCTAACCTAACCCCACTTTTACCGTGCTCCAGACTTCATGGAGGAAGAGAGGAATATAAATGTAATAATGACATTATTATTAGTACTAGCACTACCATGAGAAGCTGGCAACAAGCAGCAGAAGACAGCTATTGCCATCATATTCTGGTTTGTTTCCCTCCCCGGAAGCAACTGGTCAGCCACTAGAAAATGAGCTAGACCTTTATGTATGCCAAGAAGGTAGCATTTACATTCAGATGTGGTAAGGTAACTTCTCTTACAGAAACAATCAATCTACTGAAACACTGTTAATGATACCCCCTAAAAATGAACAGTTATTCAGCCAGGCCCAACTTACAAGTCCATTTTAAAACACATAGAACTATTTCAGAGATGTTCATATTTACAGTCCAGATTGTTCAAACATGGTGCTCCGGACCAGTGTTCCCTCTAAGCTGAGTTAGTGTGAGCTAGCTCAGTTTTTTAGCCTCCGGCTCAAACATTTTTGTCTTAGTTTAGGAAGGAGGGCTCCAGAGCAAACTAATTTATGCAGTAGCCAAATTGCTTGCTCACAACTTTAATGAGAGTAGCTCACAAAGTAGATTTTTTGCTCACAGGTCTCCACAGCTTAGAGGGAGCATTGCTCTGGACTGTTTAACGTTTTCCTGCCTTCCAATAAAACAAGTGTATGCTATTCAGGAGCAAAGATAATGCTTCCCCCATAGAAAATAAGTTGCATGGAAGTGCTCAGTTTATTTCTTCTACAATTAACACAAATTATTTTAATAACTCTACACCTATACATGAACACGAAGGGGAAGAAGGCAAGGGACTCACTGAATTACCTGGAACGTTCCAGGGCTCACTGCATGTCAGGAGTTCCTTGTATACCAGTGCCCTGAACCAGAAGGAGCATATCCAAAGGAGAATACTCAAAAACAACAAACACTACGTGGGGTAGGGAATGCACACCCCTGACCAAAAAGCTCCAGAAGTAACAATCTGTACCCCTCTAAAGAAGAAGAGAACGCATTGCAGCTTTTCTAGCTACAATGGTTTACGGTTATCAGGAAAAGTCCCCTAAAACAGGGTCCGCTGGCAAGCTCAATGCTGAGGCTCGGGAGGGGGGGCATCCGGTGCCCTCAAGCCAATCCCCCACCGCAAAGCCTTTTTTGTCCACTTCTGCCACAGGGCAGCTATGCCTACCCAACACTCAGCACTCCCTCCTCCCTTTACGTACCAGAACTGGCGCCGGCGCCTCCAGAATGAGGGTCTTCATTGAGCCCGGTAGCCCCTAGTGGGGTCCCGGCGGGGAACTGCGGGGTTTTCTCCCCCCAGTGCAGGTTGCGGCTACCGGGGATGTCAGGCGGGGTGCTGACCCAGTGGCCTAGGTCCGGCTTGGCCGCGAAGCCCCCCTGCTCCTCGCGGCCACCCCGGTAGCCCAGGCCGTCGAAGCCTTCAGGGCGCCGCGGATGCATCGAGCCGAGCAAAGAGACCCGAACCCCCAACTATTGACAGCAAGACGAAAGACCCAGAGCTGCGCCCTCGGACTCCGCTTCCGGGTTCCAACCAGAAGTAATCCCCATCATCCGGAAGTCCTTCCGTAGCCAAGCAGAGTCACATGATGAGGGCCGGAGGCAGGCGCCTCCCTCTTTCTCCAACCCCCCCCCCCCGGCCTTCCCCCCCCCCCCCCGGGAGATTTTTACCCGGGTTCAGCGACGGTAGAAAAGTTGGTAAGGGCGTGGCTCGCTTCATAGCCCTTCGGCCTTGGAGGAAAAGGTGCACATATAATAACGCTTTGTGGTTGGCAGAGGTCCATGAGATTGTTAACCTAATTTATGTCTGGCATTTCGGGTACACCTCTAGGGGTGACGTCGTAAGAAGGGCTCGGAACATTTTTTAGGGAATCCGCTGTCAAAATCTGCTCCCCGTTACACACGTATCGTCTACAGTGGCGCGCTAATTCCGATTTTCCAAATTTGACATCTGCAGAAAAGTGTCTTAGGTTTTTTTTTTTAACCATAATGTTTTATTTGTTTTAACTGTAAAACAGAGCAATAATGTACTGGTTTTCAAGGTTTACATAGATAACACTCAAAGGTAAATCAGAATTTAGGGTAACTTCTTACAAACGATACAATGCAATCTGTAGGAAAGTGCCTTAGTTACCATATTTTGAAAAGCAAAAAAGAGGACCTATCTCCCCGACTGACTACTTCAAACAAGTGATCACTATGACAAATTTAATTTTAAATGCCCCTACGATTGATTTAAGCTGTGATAATTGCTACTGAATAGGAATATTCTTAATCATCCAACCCCAAAAGAGGACATTTTCACCAGTTTTTTTTTAAAAGAGCCCAAAAGAGGACAGGCCCACAAAAAAGATGATATGTCCTCTAAAAAGAGGACATCTGGTAACCCTGTGGCTCAGTGAAAGGTGTTGGTCGCTTTGATCGTTCCCCCTGTGCCCCATAAAAGGAAGTCATTTGTACATGCTTCACCCGCCACAAGCAATGAATTTGATCTGTTCACTCAGCGGAGCAAAAGAGTGATAGGAAACAGACTCTGAGCAGTGACCAGGAAGAAAACTCCAGTGAATAAAATGGTCTTATTTCTCAGTACGCAATGCATAGAGATGGCACTGAGAGACGCACCTTCCACCGGGACCGGGTACAAGGCGGAGGGGACTACTGTACCTTTAATGACTGTGGCAAAGGGCAGTTCAGCTGATGCAGCCCATGGGCGGTCTGGTCTTTCCACTAAGGTTGCCAGCCTTAGGTTGGGCAATATCTGGATATTTTGGGGGTGGAGCCTGATAAGGTTGGGGTTGCGGGGAGTGGGGTATTAAGCCTAGAGTCAGCCTTCCAAAGTGCCTGTTTTCTCCAGGTGAACTGATCTCTCAGGAGATCTCCAGCCACCACCTGGAGGTTGGCAACCCTACTTCCCATTCGATATTTCCTTTTCTTAGTTCTGATCTTGCTCGGTCTCCACTAGGATTTATTTAGGTTCAGACCAACTCGACACTTCTAGACGATCCGATGGAGCACTTTCAGGGCTGTGGTGTATTCATACTGTTAAAGGCCCCCCCCCTTTATTATTTTAAGTAGATACCATTTTTGTAACACATTACAGGCCACGGATTACTAGAGTGAGCAGATCCATATATCAGTGTTTATCAGGAGCACACAACTGCTGATAAATTTGGCTTCTCTCAACAAGGTTGTCTAGTCTTCAGCGCCTGCTTTAACTCTAGAAAGTACATCAGGCATCAAGAGGTAACCGGCACAACAAAACTGAGCCAAAGAGTTCACCCATTGATAAAAACTGGGCAAAATGTGACGAGGGCGGCGGGGGGGAGGGGGGTTAAACTGCATCTGTCGAGACTGTGACGTGCTGTATGGACGTCCTCTTCTCCCGCTTATGTTATTGTCTCCTTAAACCTCTGTTAACGAACATTACCGGGTAACTCGTCGTCAGGGGACCCGAATAAAGCCAAGTCAATCATCTCCTTCTTTACCAGCTCTCCCCGGAGGGCGACTGCCCTCGCCAAGCAGCGAAGAGCCGCCAGTCCCTCCCTCCCTCTCCCGGTGGAGTCCTGGCCTGGCCGCGTCCTTAGCAACCATCTCAGCAGCGCTAGATCCCCAAAGGAAGGAAGCGGAGCCGGGCCGAGGGTAGGTACAGGGGAGGTCGCTGGCTCTGAGTACAGAAGAGCAGAGAAAAGAGGCTAGATACAGCAACCGTCGGTTAAATTGTAGTGTTTACTCCCCTGATGAGCGATCGATCTCGAGTTGATCGAAAGGGACCGTGGTCTTGGCAGCGGTAGTTGGCAGCGGGTTTGTGGCTTCAGCTCAACCTTAGTTTTAGGAACACTGTAAAGTAACAATATGTTGTTATGTAATGGGATTATGGACACTGATGCAAAACCAAACAAATCTTTTCCTTTCAGTGTATGGTTATGGGAAAAGTGACTACTCTGATCTGTAATGATTGTGATGACAAAACTGGGTGCTTGTTCATAAATTTAATTAATGTAACAGTCTTTAATTAATGTAGAGTATAAAAGGTGATATTGTGCGGGGAAGTATTTTAATATTTTAATTATTTATTGTATTAATGAAATATCGTTTTTATTTTAATGATGAGATGTTGTTACCTGCCCTGAGCCTGCTTGCAGGAAATATGAATAAATAAATAAAGAGGATCTTGGTCCAAATCCTGCTGTAACCTCCCAAGCAAAGGAATACCTCATCCTGTTGTCCCTTGGAACTAAGCCACTTCAGACCTTTCATAGTTCAAAGCACCCAACCAATCTGATTTAATGAATATTAGAGTTTATTAGTGATTATTACTATTTATGGTGTTTGCTTGAAGTTATGTGCTTCAGGCATGTGCATGCTTGCACATCTTTGCTGTCCCCAAATACATATGTGTACACCTTCCCAATATTTTCCCCTTCATAGGTCAGTGGGGTATAAAAATATCCATAAAAGCACTTTTGGGGAAATTGGACTTCCTTTAGTCAAGTATAATATTTACAATTACAAGTACTGGGAAAGTGCTACAAGGAGCAAGTATGTCTGTGTATTGCTGCTTCTACTCCTTTAAATATGTGACAACATTTTACTTATATGGGATAGGTGGAAAATGTCATACAAAAGTACTTTATGGAGAGGATGGGAAATTGAGTTTGATGTTTCCCCTTACATGCTCAAAGGCTAAGGTATTCCTGGAAGTTATGTGTGTGGCACATATTGGTTGCACACGACAAGACAATCAGAGCTCAAGCACATAACTAAGAGCACCCCCCCAGTGATGAGTGCACAAAACATTTGTAATAGTTTTAAGGTTTAAGCTGGGCCTTGTAATTAATTTTAGAATATTTTAAGTTTAATATGAATTCAAAAGGTTCTTCTACCTCCCCCCCCTAAAATATACTGGATTCGAGACGCGTATAGTGACCAGCTCATAGTTTATTAGTGATTTCAGCAAAAACAAGACAACTCTAGCAGGACCAAAGCCCTGCTTAAATTCGTGCACACATTCCCCATGATAGGCTATTTACAGTGCGCCTCCTGGTCTATAGGTTCCTTCCCGGATCCTAGCTATCTATTGTTCTAGGTTTCAAGCTTGGTCATTTACTATCGATAGTAAAAGTACCCAGCACGCAAGATGCGGTTCTGAATGTGCACAGAAGAGACCCTTTTTATTAACAGAATCTCAAAGGAACATTACTAACATACTAACAGAGAATATATGTAACAGGACTAAGAAAAGAAGTTTGGCAACACACAGAAGAAGCCCAATAAGATTAATTGGACACTACTAACAGTTTAATTTACCAGTTTATATATCACTCAGCTTTCTCTTTCTCCCACTGTCTACCCCTCCCTTTTTTTCTTTTAAGCGAAATACCTCCCCTTTTTAGGGGAGCCAATAAAACCTTTATTAAAAAAAAAAAAAGCTTGGTCATTCAATGCCGGGCCCAGGATATAACACCCCTCCCCCCAAAGTTCAGAACCCCCTTAACAAACATAGTCTCTCAAGTAGGCTACTCTGCGTCGTTCGCAGTTCGAGCAACGTGGTTCTGTCAAGGGGTCGGGGTTTCTGGCTCAGGTCCCAACGGAGCATCCGAGGTGCTCGTGGGCATCGGCGCAATCTTGGGGCTGTCCATGGCTGCTTGTTCCGATGTTTCTTCTGGTTGTTCACTAGCTGCGAGTTGCGTGCTGGCTGCTGGGATCCCCCTCTCGCCCTCTGGTTCCTGTAGGTCTGGCAGCTCCGTGTCATCATCATATGGGGTCACTGAGGGCAGACCTGGCTCGGCTGGGAGGAGATGGCGGCGGAGCTGGTCAATGTGCCTCTAAAGTACCTGACCTCTGTCAGTCGACACCTTGTCGGACAGGGGCCCGGTGACTCGGATAACCTTGGCTGGGACCCAGGCAGGGCTGCTGGGAAAGTTCCGGGTGTAGATGGGGTCGCCCGGGAAGAACCCACGGGGTGCTGCTTGGTTCTCGGGGCCTGCATGGTGTTCCGAAGCACAGTCTGGGTGCATTCAGTCTAATCAGGTGGTGAGGCATCGTCCCATGAGGTGTTCCGCTGGGCTGTGGCTGGTGGAGGTGCTTGGTGTCACCCACTGACCGAAAAGGAAGGCCGCGAGCCAGTGATCCCAATCTCCATGGATGATCCACTGGAGGGATTCCTTTGTGGTCCTCACCATCCTTTTGGCCTGGCCATTGGTGGCTGGGTGGAAGGGCACGGATCATATGTGTCTGATTAAATAATGGCTCATGAAGTCTTGGAACTTGCCTGAGGTGAAGGCTGTCCCGTTGTCCATCACAACGGTGTTGGGTAGGCCTTGGGTACAGAAGATCCATTGGAGGGCGTGGATGGCTGCTTTGGACGAGGTGGAAGGGACCGGTACCATTTCTAGCCATTTGGTGTAGGAGTCCACCAAAATGAAGAAGATCTGCCCTTGGAAGGGTCCGCAAAGTCCAGATGTAACCGGGACCATGGTCTTTGGGTGGACTCCCACTGTCATAACGGTGCCCTGGGAAGCTCCAGTCAGGTTTCTTGGCAG